TTAAGATCCATGGTTCACAGGTGACTAGAATGTAGCCTTTTCCATTAGTAATGATTATAGGATTATGCTAGTAACACTTGCTTTCTCATATAACAACAATTAGTTTCCTACCGTAATTAATTAAATCATCGTATCTGTCAAGAACTGAAGCAAGTACAGCCTAATTCTGTGTTTTGCCAGTGTAAACAATATTCAGTCAGAGAACAGTATAATATTTTTGGTTGTAAAGGTGCTCTGGAGATCATCTGGTCCCGCCCTATGCTCAAAGCATGGCCAACTTGAAAGTTAGATTAGTTTACTCAGTACCTTGTCCAGTCAAGTTCTGAACATCCCCAAGGATGCAAAATCCGCCACCTGCCTAGGCAACCTGCTGCAGTGCATAACAAACTTCACTGTAAAAACTTTGTTTCTTATATGTAGTCAGCATTGCAATTTCCTACCCTTACCTCATGTCCGCTCGCTGTGCGCACCTCAAGAGAGTACAGCTCAGTCTTTCCCCTCACCAACACAGTTGCCCTTTGCTAGATTCGCTCCAGATTGTAAATGTCTGTCTTGTACTGAGGAGTCCAAAACTGGGCATAGTACTCTAGATACAGTCTCCCAAGTGCTGAAAAGGGAGGGGGCGGGTATAATCAGTGTTTTCAATCCTATGGTTACATACGGCTTAATGCACTACAACACAATATTAGTCTTCACTGTTGCAAGGGTGTACTGCTGATTCATGTGCAACTTGTTGTCTACCAACAACCCTCAAACACTTTTTATTAGAGCTTCTTTTTAGCCAATTGGTCCCTAGCCAATTGATTTCTGTGAGATCATTTCTGTCAGATCATTTTTCCAGATTGTAAAGGTCCCTCTGAACGACAGCCTTATTATCCAACATACTGACTGCTCTCTCCAATTTGGTGTCAACCACAAACCTGTTGAGAGTGTGTTCCTTTTCATATAATTATGAAACAACAAAATCGCACCACTACAATTTCATCCAGCATAGCCAATACATTGGTTTCCTAGGTAATGCAAAGCAAAAGATTGTTTTGGAAGGTCATATTTCATAAGGCACTAGGGTAAGAGTCGTGTGACTAAGAAGGCAGAAAGATGCCACCTTTTCTGTATAAGAGCAGAGAATGACAATTGCTCTGGTCACTAAAGACTAGAGACTGAATGTGGACAGAAGCAATTAATACCCTTGCATAGTGAATGTGCACAAAAGCCCCTCTGATCTGGTAGCATTTCCTTCCATTCTCATCTTAACCCAGGTAACCAGGAAATGCCAAATAAAGCTTTTGTGTGTGCTTTAATATTAGTGCACACAATAATCTTTTAATCTTTATCCAGTCTTAGGTGAAAGTATCAATTAAAGCAATACCCTTAGCACTTTGATTTTTACACTACTGGAGTGATGTAAAGAAGCCACGGCATGCACAGAAACTTTACCTAAGATTTCTTTTTTTCCCACAGAAAAATCAATGGGCCAGATTCTACCATGGGTGTAACATTGTCAATCTGGAGACACCTCAGTAGCCAACTGACTTTATTTGCTTTGCTGAAGATTAACATCAAGCCTTTACTGTAACTGAAGGTGTCAATCTTTAGGTGAGAGTCTTTGTACCTGGTGTTCACATTGACTGCAAATTTTACGTATAATGACAAATACATACAAAACTCATTTCAGCGTGTTGCATCTCATCCAAAGCAAGAAGTAGGAGGAAATAAAAATGGAACAGAAGCAAATAACCTCCTTCTTAGAAGAATGTGCACATGACAAATGCACTGTTCTATCTGGTCACCATATGAATTTTACAATACCTGTGACGCTGAGTCACTTTGTCCTATCAGGAAACAGAGGAGCTATAAATCACGCTTCAGTGAGGAACCCCGGCCACTTCCACAACCACCTGAGAGGCACGGAAGAAACTTTCTATCTTCCTGGAATCAAAAGGTAGAATTTATATTGATTTGTTTGTGCAAAGTATTGCAATTTTCTTCAGGTATTAAAATGTAACCTATTGTAGAAGGCTTCTGGTCTCTTGAACAAGTTAGGAGGGTCGCAGAAAGAGGATTTGATTCAGTGAAAAGTAAGGATTAGACAGGCAAAGGCATAATGCAAGTTGAAAATAAGGAGAGAAAACTGATGAACCATCAAAAATGGATGAAAAGTGTCCTGCATACAAGAAAGTAGCATCTTGGTAGAAAACTAGATATACATAGAGAAAGAGGTAGAGACAGACTGAATGTACTGAACTGAATATATATTCAGTGCAGTGTACTCTATTGCTATGTGTAGCTATCATCACTTCTTTTCAGTGCTGGGAAATTACCACCTTCCTCTTGCACAAAGTGGCTCCTAAGTGGGACCTTGTGCGGCAATGATGTACAAGTGAAATGACAGCTTGTATTAGTCCGTTTCAGGTCATTTTCAAGGATAATAAAAATTAACGGGGATGCTCTTTTATAATACTGATTCAGCTGTGTAAATAATCTAGGATACAGGTTTTTGGGGGGGAGGGGGTTTAGGGTTTTTTTATTCAGGATTGAGCCTTTGAAGGAGGGAAGGGAAAAATATTCACATAAGTTTGCCAAACTAGGGGTTGTTTGACAAACTGGGGATGCTAAAGCACTGTCTTTCAGTGGCAGGTCCCTGTACACAGATGGAGTCGCAGGAAAGTCAGTAAGACTTGGCACATGTCCTGATTTATGTTTGATTGGGGGGGACAAGGGAGGGGGATAGAGAGACTGATTTTAGGACTAGTGCCTAGAAATTAATGCAGAGCAATTAAATTTACATCTCTTAAACTATAAGCATTTGGCTGAAACCTGTGGGACTGCCAAAAGTACATTAGTATCTTGGAGCAGGAAACCCACTGCATAAAAAGCATTCCAACGGCATTTTGTAATTTGTATCATGTATGAAATTACCAATTATGCTTATTTAATTGATATATTAATTAAATTGATAGAAAATATTCCAGTAAATTAATATTTTGCCTATGTCTTTAAGTCTGCTTCTTCAGTTTTGTTTGCAAAATAGAAGGCCTCACAAGTTCAAGGAACAGTTATTTTCACTTGAGGCAGAATATTTATTTTTAAATGTTTTAAGTGCTAAAAGGTTCATTTTTTAATTTGAGAATCAACACATTTTGCACTGAAGAGATTTATTTTTGCTTGCAATTTGAGCACAGCTAAACATGACCCACACCTCTGCTTACCTTCTAGTTAGGAAAGAAGTGAAAAGAATCATCTTTCATGTTAGTGGGGCTACAATCTCTTGTCTTTAAACCCCTAGTTTACGTACACTGAAAACTTTTGTAAAAGCTCTAAGAAATAAGTGTCGTAGAAAAGGTACTAAGAAAAAACTTGTGTGATCCCAGACTATTTCAAGAAAGGAATAGATTATCTCTAAAGTAAATAGTGTCATTAACCAGTTCCAAGAACTGGGACTCAACCACATAGACTGTTTAACTATCAGAATAGTTCCCAGTACTGTTTTCCCCTGGCCGGGCATATCTTTCCTAAGCTGCAGGCAGCTTGGTTGAAGCTACCCTGTTTTGGAGGCTGAGACGTACTGACAGATGTTGCCAGTCTGTGCCTTTTTTGGCCTCTGGACTGGAGAGTTGGCCCGGGCATGGTCCAGGTTCTTGGTGTAGACATGGTCACAGCTGCCCATATTCAGTCCACTTAAAGAGACTTTGGTATTTAGCAGAGCTGGAGCAGCTCCCCTTTCTATGAGCTGGAAACTGTGCGTCTCCTCCAGTGTCGCATAAGCGATTCGGTGAGGAAAACGTGGAAAAGGGCAGCTATTCTTACCTGCATGTCCTCCATAAGCAGAAACACCTTGTGTTTTATATAGGCTCGTTGCCTCAAGGTAGATAGGCCTTACTGAGTATGGAAAGGCCAGGAAACCCTATTGGCTTCTCCCCAGGAATAAATTAAAACTAAAACCAGCAGCCTCTCAAAGCCAAATAAGAGCTTAATTTAACAACATATCTCTGTGGCAATATGCCCAAAAATTATCTTGGAGAGGGATTTGGGAAAACTGCCAAAACAAGTAAATTCCACTCTAGTCACCTGCTTGCCTGCCCAAGGTAGCTAAGCAGAAACAAGCTGAAGATAACTCCTATGACTGATTGCAATCAAATACCAAGTATAATGAACTTATTCCCATCTGGATCACTGTAGTGGGACGGTCAAAGCTTTGAGTCTCCCAACCAAGCACAGTCTTAGTCGGTCCAAAGGCTGGTGGTTTCTTGTCCAATTAGAAATGGCTCTCGATTCTGTATCCACTCCACACTGTTCATTTTTTTCTCAAGAGTTTAATTAAAAAAAAAAAAAAAGAGAGAGAGAGAGAGAGAGAAAAGAAAAGCTTTCTGAAACAAATTCCCTAGGAAGCCAGTGCTAGTCCACTTCTGGTCCAGCTAGTTCAGATCCAGGTCATATGTGAAGAAGTTTCACAGCAATGTTCCAGTACTGGTCCTTAAGGAAGGGCTTTGACTGCAGACTCGGACACCTAAATGTAGAAGCCTGCATATGTGTTTAAACTCACCTTTCGACTAATTCAGTCCTGTCAAAGCAGGCAATGGAGAGCAGAAAAAGTTTCAGACTTACGCCGACACAGAAACAAACTGAAAACAGTGTCTACCACCGGCAGTTCTGCAGCAAGCTGAAGTCTTCCTGAAGGAAGGCGAATTCAAATGTCCTCCTACACTGTGAACTTAGATGAAAGGAATAAATCAGAATTTGACCAGGAAGTATAAAATACACAAAGCAATTGCTTCGTACTGTTTCTAGAAATGTTGAAAAGCAGAGAAGGAATTAATTTTATTTTTTTACTTCTAAAAATGAGAGGAAGAGAGAAAGAGGAAAGAAAAAAAAACCATTACCTTGCTGCTTGAGAAAACACCTGGAGATGCACAGGAGAAAGATAGGTTACATGTTTAGAGAGATGAAAGCTCCATAAAGGTCAAAAAATAACAAAAATCCTCATTCTTCCCTTTTCAGAGATGATTCTGCCAGCAGCGTTCCTGTGTCTCGCAGCTATGCTGCCTCAATCTGCTGGAGAGGTAGGAACCATGCTTTGCATTTGGAAAATCTGGATTGGCCTTGACAGACTCGAGGTCTGATTCTATGCACACCAGTCATGTGTAGGAAGAGTCTGGGCTTTGGACAGACAATGTCATTGAAGTCTGGTGCCACAGACAACCCCTGTTCTCAAGGTTTGCCTAATTTCAAAGCAGGAGATTGCACCTACATTTTCACGCTAAACCCTCTATAGGCTCAGCGTCACTTGTAACTGTGTTTCCCAGAATCCCCCCAACACTTTCTGAAGATACAGTCCACAGGGACAGAGAGCTGCGTGCCTCTCCCTTGCCTCGCAGTCCCATCCTCTGAACAGGTACCGCTGTTCTCCTTCAAATAGCTTAAATTATTAACATAATCAATGTACACTTAAGAGTAGTTCCTCCCAACTCTTACTTAGTCTGAAGTTGGAAGTTTACTATTTTCACTTCGGAAATATTAATGAGACCGAAGGCTTGACCATTTTTTCCCCCCTTTACATCAGTTCATTTGCTAGAACTACTTCTTTCTACAAATTCTGCTTTTCTAATGCTATAAGCACTGAAGCTCAATTAAGTACATTAAATGGCAAGTGCAAATGATGTGCTTAGTTCTTGATTAGTCCAACTGGAATTAGGCAGGAGAGTAAGGGATCATTGGATCAAAACTTTAGAGCTAAATGACATACATAAATAAAAAGAGAAATAGCGAACCTTTTAAATACTGATGTCTAAAAATACATCAAAGGTAGGAAAAATAAAACTGAATGTGGTTGGATCGTCATGACCTGTGAAAATAAATACTTACGAAGAAGATTTTGTTACAAGGTACTGTCATACCACTAAAAATAAACATTAATAAATCCATTTGAATGTATGGACATAGGTAACTAATTACCTTATTCTAGGAAGCATCAAGTTAGCCAGACATCAGTACAGAGTTTAGTATGAAAAAAATAACAGTAACAACTGTTACACTAGAACCCATTGTAGAGAATAATAGCCTAAAAATATGATGAAATTTTTCAATCTCTGCTCTCCATGCTGTAGCCTAGCAGACTGGTGAGAAAGATTGTAAAGAGAAGGCAGAATTCTTCCTATGGCTATCCTTTCTAGAGGAAAATACAGAAAAAGTTTGAAAATTATAGGCAGTTATGGCGGGAGTGGAAGAAAACGTTAACATATTATTTTTTGTGCAGTGGGCTCTCCTGATGGAAGTATCACAAGAAGTCTGTGACAATCCTCTGATCATGCATTTCCTTCAGTAAACAGAAATTGATAGGCATGTTTAAAATATTGAAGAAGGGGAAAGCATCATAAGCACACCAGTGTCTTTGTCTGATTTTCAGATCCTGCTTCCCCAAAACCTTTGCGAAGCAAATTATAATAAATGTAAATTGAGAGTCTGACACAGTTGCCTAAATTTAATATTCTAACGTCACATGAGATAAGAAATGCTAGACGCCTGCAGTGGGTTTGTACATGCAATACAGGAACCGGTGTTACTTTTATTACTGCTAAGCTCTAAATCGTGGAATCATTCAGAGTGCTACTCAGTGGGAAACAACCCCTAGACAGACCTAGGAAACAACACATGGCACCTCCTTCATCACATGGGTCATTTCTTAGGTTGAAGTTAGTATTTTAACATTTTCTAGATAGTATTCAGTATGCAGTTACATTCAAATAAATAAGAAATATAACACGCTCTTTCAATTTAGGTACCTGCAACTTTTGATGTTCTGTCAACTAGCAAAGCAGATCAGCAAAAGCTGATTGTTGAAAAGCACAACGCCCTGAGAAGAGGAGTAAACCCGCCTGCCAGCAACATGTTGAAGATGGTAAGTTACGTGCATTTCTATTTACAATAAATAACAGACCCTATGAGAGATACAGGACCACGTGCAAGATCCCATCACTTAAGTTAGCAGCAAATACACTCTCCCAATCTTTCCTATGATGAAGTGCTAGGAACACTGAGCACAGGCAGTACCAAGAGAAATATAACTACCGATTGAAAGTGTAAGTTCCAAAATGTTGTTTCTCCGTGAAGGTTTATTAAGTGCTATGTGAATGACTAGTATTTTCTCCTTTCATTAAGGAATGGAGTCCTGAAGTTGCAAAAAATGCCGAAATTTGGGCAAATAAATGTACTTTAAGCCACAGTCCTGCAACCATGAGGAAAATCAGTAAGTAAAGTATGAGTGCTAACTGCATAATATATATTTGTGTTATCCATTTGACGAGCTTACAGGCATGAGATTTTTAAATTAGCTGATATCAAAATGAAGCTAAAATAATGTGTTCACATATTTTCAACTTCACGGATTCATATTTGCTGAGATGAGACTATATGTTACTCAGTTATCTAAAAGTATTTTACAGTTTAATAAAAATTGGATAATTTAGTTAAAGGGTGGGATTTGCATTTCTAACTTAAGATGTCCACAAGGTAAATGTCTAAACCAGAACTGATCACTGTATATTCCTATACATTAAAGGGAAGAAAGTAAACGCTTCTAATACACAATTCATCTGGCCTAGCATTTAAGGTGAGATGCATTGCTTCTGAAAACTTCCATTTGTCTTCTACACAAAACTTATTCAAAAGACTAGCTCAGAAAACGATATTGGAACCGAGTGAGTCTACTGAAAATATCTACGTGAAAAGATCATGAGAAAGTTCAATAGAAATTGTATGAAATATTGTCTCCAGTTTGTCCAGTTATCAAATTTATGTTAAATTCCCAACCTTTGAAAGAAAAGGTGTGCAATTTTTTTTTTTTTCTCTTTCACCCTATTCCCATTCCTCAGACACTACTTCCCATACCTATCATTTCAGCTGGTTTACAGTACTTACCAATATGCTCGGGTTTTTTTATTTTATCCTTAAAATCATTTGGCTAAGCATTGGAGATGACCTGCGATATTCAATGCAACGCCATTAGTGCATGGGCCCAAGACAAAAAATTAGATATAAATCTTCCCAGTAAGCGAGGAAAGTTAAATCCCATTCTCATCCTAATTGCACCAGTTTTACAAATAAATCCCATTTACTTTAGAAGGTGAAAAAATCCTAGCGAAGAAACATTCTCCCACAATACCCAACATAAAGAAGAGAATCCAGACCCAGTGTACTACAGAAATTAGCTTGTTTGAACCGGATAAAACTTTCCAGGGTGGAAGACACAAAGGATGAAGTTTCAAAACCAACTCACAGCACTAAGCATAACTGCAAAGGAAGATGAGACTCAGAATGTTAATAATTCCCTGGCATCTTGAATAACAATAGTAGGCACAATAGGATTTGCCTGAATGAAAACAACAGGTGAATCCACATGACAGTGTAGATACCTGTTGTACCACAGGTAAGGTTTGAATTGTTGAGATTTTCCCAAGATTACTGAACTGTGACCTGAATAATGACTATGGTCACTACTTTTGAAATACCAAAATTAGAGTCACCGCAAACGAATCCTTGGTGCATATGTGCAGGTGTACGGATGGATGTGCAGAAGCCCTGTCAACAACCAAACTCCCAGTCAGACAGGTTAGCCATGCTGAAAACTGGTCAAGTGACAACTTCAGTACTGACAAAGGGTGGAGTCACTGACCAGGAAAAAAAAAAAGAAACAAAAAAGCACCATCCCGTCTGGATGACAGCTGCCACTAAAATCATGCAGCCCTTTGCTGGTTCTCCCCATGTGTGTCTGCTTTCTGCATTTCTCCGCACTCTCTTTTCAGACGTAACCTGTGGTGAAAACCTCTTCATGTCACCTGACGCTTTCTCATGGCCAAGTGCTATTCAGTACTGGTATGATGAGGTGAAAGATTTCAAATATGGCACTGGAGCAACAAGAAGAGGTGCTGTGGTTGGCCATTACACTCAGGTAGATGCAACATTTTTATATTTGAAGCTGAGAAAATAAATATCCATATGTTAACTAAGCGCCTTTGACACTTTCATTCTCTTTGAAGGGAATAAGTACATCAGAGACAGAAGAGTTATTCTGAGAAAACCGAATGAAAGCTTTCAAAGTAACAGAATACAAAGCGAAATAATAGGCTAAATACCTTCTCAACTTTTTGTTGAGGAAGTATATTAGACAAGAGAAGCTGTTGAAGCCATGGTTTAGGAAAGTTGCAACTAGATGACATCAAAGCCAGGTTAGTACTAGGGGGTGTTCCTGTGCAGCAGGGAGTCAGGCATAGATTTATAATAAGAGGTAAGAGAGATGTAGTCATCCCAGTCACCCCATTCCCTGAAGACCCTGGCTGGGTATGATGAGAGATGTCCTCCTCATCCAATGCCATAACTGAGGATGAGCAGTCCTCCCAGCCATAGCACAGCTGGATCTGACCTAGGGAGAAGACTTGACCATTTTGAGCTTTTTTGAATTGGGATTTTTTTTTTTTTTTTTGGTATGCTTTCTAATATGCTGGTCAGAACCATGGCCAGATTGTTATTCTGCCACTGCCACCTTTGTTTTTATTTTCCTCCATTAAGGTATCTAACCATGCACACGCTTACTCATGTGCGTGACATGACACACAAACAATTATCACTTGCATGCACAGAGTAAAGGTACTGGTATTCCAAAGCCTCAGGAAGAAAGAGAGGGAAGAGACTTATTTGTCTGTTAAATATTTGAAAAGTGTTTAGATACTGTAAAAATAGGGTTATTAAAGTATCAGGAAGGAAATATTTATAACTTTTCTGCTATCTATACAGTTCCTTTGTTTCACAGAGGTCCCAGCTGGAAGAGGGGTTATGATAACCTCCTCTGTTCACCTGCACATAGTGCAGGACACAAAATTTTACATCATGATTCCTTTATCCTCTTCAACAGTTATAACTGAATATTTTATAGAGACAGGCAGCCTAACAGTTCTGATGCATGGAGAGCCCACCGCGTTTCTCACATATAAACCTCACTATACCCTAAATGTTCTTTGCCTCAAAGGTAAATAGCAGGAACAAGAAAATTATGGTTTCCAGTAAGATGAGACTTATATTTCACTATACAGGGTAAATAAAGTGACTTAATCTTGGTTCCAATATGTTTCTTTAACACATAGTGTATTTAAATGATTTTCAAATGTATCTGGTTTTTCACTCTCCCATGGTTTTCATTTTCGTATCTGCAGGTGGTTTGGTACAAGTCTTATCAAGTTGGATGTGCAGTTGCTTTCTGTCCTGAGACTACTTATAAATACTTTTATGTCTGCCAGTACTGCCCCGCGTACGTATTGATTCTGATACTGGAACTCCTTATTACGTTATCAAAATGACTCAGGAGATGATGAAATGTGTATCAGAGCACAACACCCATAGCTGAGATAAAGGTCTGAGGACCTTTTGGAATACAAAAAGACAGAAATACACTTGTAAAAAGAATCGTCAAACAAAAGCATAAAACATAAAAGTGACACTGATTTTCAAATTAAATTTTCTTTACCTAATAATCATAATTTTCATCATGGTAAATCAAAAAGAAATATTTCCCACTTTCTATTTGATGTCTTAATTCAGAAAGGCACATCAATATGTGCAGCACCTTTCAAGAGTTTATCATGAATAACAAAACATTAGTGAGGATCTTAAGGCAGAGTGAAGATTTCATAAACTTTGTCTAAAACTAATTTTGACATTTATATTGTAAAGTAGAAAAAATTGTTTTAACTAAAAGCAAAGACTGAGTGTAAATTAATACTTGCATGCATCCATATAATTAAATTTTACTCTTAGGTATGTTACATTGACTTTCTATTTTTTGTTGGTAATGTTGATGTTTCAGGGGGAATAGAATAGATTTACTTGGAACACCCTACAAAGAAGGAAATCCTTGTGGTGATTGTCCTAATGATTGCGACAATGGACTATGCAGTAAGTTTTAAGCATTTAAATTGGGACTGGGGTAAAGTTGATTTAAAAAAAAAAAATCAATTAGTTACTGCAAATGGAAGGTTTTTTAAACGATTTGTTCAAATACTAGGCCAAAAGACAGAGGCTATGAATCCACACTCATGCTCTGTAGGCTACCGTATCTTTATTTTTTATCAATTGTTTTATAGAAGCATCATGACAGGTCCAGGCTTTACTATGTTATGTGTTTTACCTAGGTGGGCTAACTTGTGGGGTGAAACCAAAGGAGTCTGTAACAATGAGGGTCAGATACTACAGTAGCTGGTGTGATGTATGTTAGGATGCAGGTACCTTTCACTTTATCGACCCAAGGGTATAGATCAAGACGTTCATATGGCCCAGATAGCTTCAGAGTTCATTCTCCATCTCTTCATTAAAGGTAACAATGTCTCAGTCTCAGTATGGAAACTCTCATGAATAATTCCCCTAGTGTAAGATCATCCACTGACTGCAGTGAGGTTAAAGACATGTTTCTATAGGCGGTAGCAGGAAAATCTGGGTTTCACACGTCCAACTGCAGTCCAGGTGCTTTTTCACACCTGGGAGAGGCAATTTGGATCCTTGAAACTAGGAAGTGCCAAAGCAGCAGCACACTTCCTTATCTGTACCTCTTCTTCTTTCTTTGAGCAGTAGTCACTGATCAGGTAGCGGCAGCATCAGACTTGACAGAATAAGACATTGACAAATGTGAATCACTTTTCCTTTGCACAAGAATTCCAATAGAAAATAAAAGCAGATGGGTTGAATCTCATTAATATAGAACTTACCTTCAAATCTAACTTCTGTTATGTGTTTGGGCTAATTCTCCTCATGAACTGTAGTATAGAGGAGGAAAGCTTCAAAGCACCTTGTAATTTCAATGGGAAACCTTGAAAGAGCTCAGAATATTGCACGTGTGGTCAAAGTTTTTGGATGCTGTCGTGGGGTAAAGGACAATAAAGAGGGAAAAACTATAGAAAAAAAGAAGAATTGATGAAAAATGATTATGAAAGGAAAAAGTTTCCCATTTATAGCTAATTTTATATTTCAATTCTTTTTCAGCCAACCCTTGCAAGCATGTGGATGCTTATAGCAACTGTTCTGGCTTGGCAAAATCTTTTGGATGTTCCCGTAGCTTTGTTAAGCTGAATTGCCCTGCTACCTGCCAATGCAAAACTGAAATAAAGTAATAGGCTCGGACTTTCCCCTGCCTGGCTATTCATCTCCTTAATGACAACAACTTTCACAAAAGCAGATTTTACCCTACCTCTCTCATGCATGCAGGAGGACTAACTGCAATTAAGTTACTCACATCGGAGAGAGCTGTAGAATCATGTACTTGTTTTATTTGCGTAGTCTTCTGGAAGTATAGTGGAGTACCTTAATTGAAATTTGGCATTTGGGTGCCAGACATGTATCATGCTCAACATCTCAGGTCTTCCTTCTCTACAACTGTTATCTAAGGAGCATTGTTTAAAGTTCTGTACTTCTGTATGTTTCACATGCTCTTGGCATAGCTTCGTAGTCCTTGCACATGCAAGTGATCTTAACTTGACCAACATTTTGAACTACCTTGCCGTTAATTGGACCAGAAGATGAACAGCATTATTTGAAAGCTATAGTTTTTAAAGGGTATCAGGAAAGCAGGGCAGTTTCCACTGAAACTATTCTAGGTTAGAATTTGTGTTTTTGGCTGGCATACATTTTACTCTAAACACCCATTGCCTTTAATGGGAAAAAGGGTGTAGGTCATTCAAATCGATGGTCCCACTTATACTATAAGGTTGCAATTAGCATAAACAAAGCTAATCAAATCTGTTCTCTAAAAGAAAAGACCTGCCTGAGAAAAGGGTTTAATTCATACAAATAAGTAGCCAAGGAAAGAGGGTCCCTGCACTTGGAAATTTTGCTTTTAATAACAAGTAGGGGTGTCTCGCAAAATTATTTATTAAACATTCAGTATGTCTGTATAACTCATTAAATTACTGATTCTTCACTGAGCAATACATTTTAATTTTCATTCTTTCTTATTGCTATGAAATACAGTTTATTTAATTTCACCAACTTTGTGGCTTTATCAGCATTTAGTCTTGAAGGAAGGCTAATTCTTTAGTACCACAAAGGAGGAACTGTTCATGTGAGAAACTGAAGATTTCCTATGGAAATAATAGTAGTCGGGCAAACAACTTTCTCTCAGACTTTCTTTCAGAGAAAATGACCATTAATGTAAATAACATGCAAGATCCACGTCTGTGACTCCTGAGGAGCAAGTGCTCCATGGTGCAGTGAACCATGGGACTAAATGTTATTTTAGTCTCACCTTAAGACGGTTTCACCTTCTTGCGTTCTTGCAGGAAAGAACCTGCTGTCACAGCTTCCAGGCCTATAGAAGCTTTAGATAGAGACTAATTTCAGCACACATTTCTGATAATTCATTACAGTGGCTTTTTTGCCAATCCTGAAAGGTGAGCAGGAAGTTAAAAGATTGGTTTCACAATACAAACTATTCAGCTTTCCCCACACCCCTTTTTCTCATTCTTCTCCACCACTTTTTCCCAATGTGGCATGGTATTCTCTCATTCGAGTACGTCTTGGATATACTCGGGTACATTTGGGTACACCTACTACCAAAATAAGCAATGCCAAGACATAGGCATGAGCACCGGAACCTGCAGATGTACTGTTAAATGGTTAGCACAAACCCTATGAAAGAATGATGACTATGCAACAGTTAATCCAGCTTTGTTATTCTTAAAGAAATGGGAAGACTGGTCGCCCATCACTGCTGCAAAAGTGAATATACATTTTGTAATGGGTCTAGAAACGTATTCCCTTCCCCCTTAACCCATACCCCAAGAAATGATTTCTCAATAGCTCAAAATAGGAAACAAGTTTTGTAATAACATAAAAACGTAAACGTAAAAAAATGCCCTCAAACATCTCACCCTTGAGGACCCAGAAAAGTAAAGGTCTATCAGCCTAATTTATATACACAGAAAGATAACAGAAAAAATTGTTTACCAATCATTTTGCAATCATAGAGGATAAAATAACAGCATGGATTTGTCAAAATCCAGTCTTGTCCAACTAACCTAACTTTCCTCTTTGATAGCTATACTTAGTGAATGGAGTCTTGACTTTGGCACCATGTTTGACAAAGCCTCAAAAGACACTTGCGAATCAGGGAGATGTGGTTCAGATGAAAGTAACAGCTATGACCATTTTTTTTATGTGGGGTCCAACTGGTGTTTCTTAGGCATGAGAAAGTTGAACACCTGACCAGTACCAAGGATGATTTATCTGGGACAATATCCCATGCAAGGAGCTTAGACAGATTTAAACATGAAATAAGTGGCAAAAGGGCAGCAGTTTTGGATCTGTGCTAAAGCACAGTTTCAGGCACTGAAGAACCCTTAACTGGAGGAAATGGTATGTGCTTACAGATTTTCTCCTATGGGTTTAGGTGGGATAGTAGTGTATATTCCGGGATTGAAGTACTTGATCAACACTATGTCCCACACTATGATCGTGAGCCTTTGCGAAAATAGTGCATTACTTCTCTAGGGTCTCAGCTTCCCAGCTATCGAACATGGATAATAACATTTCTCTGCCTCTGTTAAGTGTAAAAACAAATTACTGAATGTTTGGCATTGAAATAGTATGAAAAAGGAATCCATATATGTACCTGGGTAATAGATAGACTAGAAATGAAGTGCTGCTAAAGGGACTCCAAATTCAGGACAATTTAGCTACAGATTTCCCTCTCTTTTCCTTGTTTCTTCCCTTTCTCCTCATTTGACCTGGGAAGGTGACAAAACTATAAGGCCTACCAGGCTCTTGGAGACAATGAAAGCATTCAGGGTGCTATTTCTCTTTTTATAATAAAAGTAGGTGGTAAAGACGAGCTCCAGCTACTGTTGCAACTGGTGCCTGGAAATGTCAGGCAAGTTGTAGAGAAAGACAGTTGTAGAGAAATCTTTTATAATAGACATATCATATTGTGGGAGAAAACAGTTCAACTCACCTCCAAATTAATATAGGTACACGAAAAGCAGACCCAGTCCAGAATATTTTCAGGGCCTGGACACATCTTCTGCCTGCACTTTGCTGGTTTTTTTTTTTTTTTTAATCTCTTCTTTTTCTGGTACCATTTTGTACCATCTTGTGGTGGAAGCAGGAAAATAAGGTAATAGATATCCTACTCCATATCTTTTATTTCTGGAATGGTGATAGGCTATATTTAAAACAGTCCTGTCTCCCTTTTGAATTACTGTGGAGGCAAAGCTCATTGCTGTTGCACATCATCATCATTGAGAAGAGACAGGCTTTGGGATCTCTGACACTGTATCTGCACTGACCCGGGCTCAAACTGTGAATTATCACGGTCTACCCCAAAGCTTGTGCCTTTGCTGCTCCTTCCAGGTTTGACACGGAGGGATCTAGCTGCCGTCCTCACAGCATGTCCGTGGTCAGTTGTCCGCGACAATCAGGCATCCTTGTTGGTAGGACATTCGCCTCTCTTACACTCTCTGCCCTCAGCAAGTCATGCCAACACACTGATGTTCCCATTTAACACCATTAACATGTTCACATTTAACACCTCAGAGAGAGAAAGACGACCCTCATACTTGTGCAGGAAGGCTGACTGCATGCACTACCTTCCCTCGCAGATGCCCACCTGTTACCAGTTACTGCAACTTTTGCCTCCACTATCGCCACCAGGGTGCAAGGCACAGAGCTAAGTCCTGGAGGGGACATCTTCCCAGGTGCTCCACAGGCAGTGTGCTTCGACCCTGACAGCTTTTGTGGCCACTGGGTTCCCCACATCTGGTTGTGTGTTCCTCTGATAGCACGCTCCAGGTCCTGGGGAGTTTCATCTTCCAAGGTGAAGCCCTTGAAACCCTTCCTACCTGTACCAAGGATCCAGAGCAGACAAGGGCTTGTGATGGGAGGGGCCATGGAAGCGGATTAGTTCCCATTCTTCCTCCTCATCTACTCCTGGTGGAGACACCTGTAGGCAGCTTGCTGCTGTTAGTAGGACAGTGTCTAAATTATGCCCCATAACCTGGGCCTCTTTGGTTCACTACGGAAATGTATACAGTCTAGAGAGTAAGACATACTACAACCTCAAGAATGCTCTCCCTTGTGTAATGATGTAATTAACAGGAATAGCCAAATATTATTACTTGCATAGTTCAGCTAAGCCTGTCTCTCACCATTACAAAAGTAACGACCTTTCATGGCAGGTAGAAAAATCCTGTGACACAAAGAATTGAGTTTGCACCTTCTCTAAATTTGACATCCAAAAGTCAGGACATGCTTTTAGTGCTGAAACAGAAAATTAATGTCACTTTGAAAATGTATCATCATCAGTTATAGTACTCCTGGGTATTCCTGGAACGCATGTAGTTTTCTGAAAGGTGTAAAATGGATGTATTTTACATCTCTCTCACAATGTAGGCCTTGATTCACTTATTTTTCACAATTTGAAGAAATACCTTTGAAGCCTGCTAAGCAAAAAAGGTGCAGTAAACTTTTAGATGTGTGCCTAAGCCTTCACTGATTTGACACCTTTCAGTCTTACAGCAATGTCTTCAGGGTGAGGGTGCAAAAATGGTGAGGCCATGTTATGTGTGGTGGGTTTGAAAAACCTCTCCCGAAACGGAGGATTGCTTCTCACTTAGACTCTCTCCTGGCTGCACAATGCAACAGGTCTTACGCGAAATTCAAGAAAAGAGATATTGTGCATTCTTTAAAATAATGACACTACTCTGTGAAAGGGAGTTAAAAGAGTCAAAGGGTACATTCATCTGAACTTCAGAAAAAGAGAGAAGGCCAAATTCAAGCCTCATGAACCTTCATTTTTGCACACAGGGTTTTTTTTTTTTTTTAATTCCCAATACTAAAGGATTAGGGCTTGTCTTCGTGACCCTTGTGTTATATGCATATGCGTGTGCATGTGTGTGTATAATATACATATTCCTTATTACTATTATGTTAGGTAAAATAATTAGTTTCACCACTTGAAACTGGAACCCAGTGTTATTTTCTCCTGTAACTCCCAGCAATTGCAAGAACAGAAGACACTTTTCCCTTGGGGACTTTGCAGCCAGCCACACCTCTTCCTCTTGTCTTTTCACCTTGGGTAAGAGCTGCATGTGACACTGCCTTCCTCCACCATCTTACCCAC